AACGGCTAGCGCCGATAGCCCTCGTGTAGCTTTTTGCGAAATTCAAAACCAAACCAAGACAGATCTTTTGGAGGTGTTTTCGAGGTGGTTGGGGAAAACAATTGGTGGGATTTTGTTAATTTATTTAGTTGGCAACCACATAATATGTTTCTGTATGTTTATTAAGTATTAATTTCTAATGGTTTATTTCGATTCTAGCCGGTTTATCATTCACCTCAGACTATAATTCAATTTATTAGTTTATCAAATAAAGTTTTGTTTTCTGAATTAAAAAAAAAAATTACACATTTCACACTCTCCTCTATCTTCAACACACCATACTAAAAATGTTTTGAACTTATTCTTTAACTGGCAGGTAGAGAACGAAGATGGAAATTGTCAACAGGACTACAGAGATACGGTGATTACAAATAACAGCAACTCAGAAAGAGGTATGTACTGAGGAAATAGGAAGGAGATTAAAATATACAAATACTAGAAGCCTGTGTAGAGTACATAGAAGACGTCAGAACTAGGAATAACATATTGAAAAGGATTCAATGCTATTATTTTAAAAAAACAAAACAAAGACATTTGCAATGGTGATGACAAGTAACTTCAGATAAATGTTTTTTTTATTGAACCCGATATTCGTCTTATGTCTATAGACTTGTGTTCCCTTTTATGACAAACATGGACACCCTCCACTCCTATTTTTTTTTGCTTAAAAATTGCTTTATTTTCCCTTTTATATAAAATACTATTTAGTGAAATATTAACATTGTATTTCTACTCCCTGTAGAACATTTAACAGCTTAGTAAAGTGTAATGTAAATTAAATGAACCTGTTATTGTTTATCGTACACAATATTTGTAAACGTTTTTTACAGATGATTTCAATGTGATGGTTAACGAAAAGAATTCAGTCATCCAGTCAAATAACTTGTTGCCAACCAATGACTCTCTCAATTGGCAGAACAGCTCCAATGTTCCCAAACTTTCCATTTCATACGAAGAAATACCAAATGGGCATGAAGAAAGCCCATGTGATCTTCTAGATCCTGAAGGAGCCACTAGGGGGAGATTGGAACGGTCAGAAAGCACATTGACACCATCAACCCAGGATAAACCTAGAGAAACTGGAATGAGACGCGTAGCATCCTGTCCAGGTTACTGAAGCTATAATTATAGAAGTAAAAACTCAAATTAATGTTAATTATGCATTAATTAGATTATTACTTTTAAGTAGTAATAAGTTGATGCGCATACTTATGAGTTTGATAAAGATATTATTGTAGTTTTTCTAAACGTTAATAACTTTGCATAATTGCAAGACACAATTCCCCGTTTGACAAGTTTGTGGCCAGTAGTTTACCAATGTTTGAAAATTATATTTCTGTTAGTCAGAAAATTTGAATGATCCTCAAAGGTACATTTTTGCTAATCAGTTAGTAAGCACTAGTTAGGCCTACTTTTTTTGCTTCTTTACAAATACAATATTTGGTAGTTTTAGGATATTTAAACAAATGTATTATCTCACGTACACTTTGTCATTTCTACATATACTACTATTTCTGTCTCTAAGGGATCACACACAAAAAATATATGTTTTTTTTAAACTTTGTTAATAACATTTAGGGTGTGAATTATATATCAGTATTTAAAAATATACTCAAGTCAGTTCAAAGTGTAAAAAATTCTGTATAATTTTTGTTTTGGAAACAGAACAACGAGTAGATAAGAATCCAGACCCTGTGATGGAAATATGTGACATTCCTGTGAAGATAGCTGACCTTGGCAATGCTTGTTGGGTGGTAGGTTTTGTCTCTGTATTTCTTCTGTGTTTTAAAACATTTTTTAAATAAACATTCCACCAGTTAAATAAGCAGAAACACATTTTGTGAATATTTAGCCGATAAATATGTTGAGATAGCTGACCTTGGCAATGCTTGTTGGGTGGTAGGTTTTGTCTCTGTATTTCTTCTGTGTTTTAGAACATTTTTTAAATAAACATTCCACCAGATAAATAAACAGAAACAAATTTTGTGAATATTCAGCCGATAAATATGTTGAGCTAACTAGGGTCCTAAGTTTGGGATTTTATAGTAGTGGGGAAAATAAACTTACCAAGTTAATTGTTAGCTTTGCTGGTTCTTGTATATTGAAATATTTTATTTTCTACAAATTACGATTAAAAACTGGCCCTAAAGTGAACATATTTCCCACCAGCATCACCACTTCACTGAAGACATTCAAACTCGGCAGTACCGCTGCTTGGAAGTCTTGCTAGGGGCTGGGTATGGTCCTCCCGCCGATATTTGGAGCACTGCTTGTATGGTGAGTTAAACACTTTTATTTGAAATACTTATTTTATAAATACTAATTAGCTTGTAAGAGGATTTCTCACGTTTTGAAAGAATGAGACATGGTGGTTAAGAGAATCGACTCGGATTTCGCACCTTTTGAAAGAATGAGGCATGGCAGTTAAGGGAATCGACTCGGATTTCGCACCTTTTGAAAGAATGAGGCATGGTGGTTAAGGGAATCAACTTGGATTTCTCACCTTTTGAAAGAATGAAGCATGGTGGTTAAGGGAATCGACTCGCAATCTGGGGGTTATGGGTTCAAATCATCATAACCAAACATGCTCATCCCTTTCAGGTGTCGGGGTGTTATAATGTAATGGTCAATCCCACTATTCGTTTGTAAAAGAGTGTATCCCAAGAGTTGGTGGTGTTGACTAGCTGGCCTCCTTCTAGTCTATCACTGCTAAATTAGGGATGGCTAGTGCAGATCGCCCTCGAATAGCTTAGCTTGTACAAAATTTGAAACAAAACAAATTGAAAGAAGGTGTACCTTTAATGTTATGAAGACTAACCCTAGAATGCTGGGTTTTGTTCTGTTCTTTTTGTAATCAGTTTTAATACAGTATCATAAGTTTCGTGTTTTACAGTGCAAGCATGTTTCGTTTTTGAAGCTCATTGTTTTACCTTCTGCATTATATATGACTATCCGTGGCTAGAGAGATCTCTGTTAACTTGATGACTTATAATAACTCCTTCGTGTATGTATTAGCAGTTGTAATAAAAGAAAGCTGTTCAACTGAAGATGGTGACAGTATAAGTCTCTCTCATTATGGTTGAAGTGTGAAATGGCAAATGAATTAACATTCAAAAATCAAATATCTACGTTGCGAGAGTACTCGTGGACAGTTTCTAAAAACCTTTTTTTTTTTTGTGGTAAAGAAAACATAATGTAATTTTTTGATTTCGTGGTTCAACATGCTGCTGTAATGTTATTTCTGTTTGGATACTTGAGTACAGTAGCTATTCGTACTATTAATCTGATTTAGTTACAAAGTCTTTCTTTTAAGAGGAGAGTTCTCCATACATAATTATTTTTCGCATTTACTTCTTAACAATAACTTTCAACGTATACTTATTTTCTCATTGAATGTTGTTTACTATACAGGCTTTCGAGCTGGCTACTGGTGACTTTCTTTTTGAACCCCATTCTGGTGAGGACTACTCCCGAGACGAAGACCACCTTGCCCATATTATCGAGCTCTTAGGGGATATCCCAAAACACATTGCTTTCTCGGGACGATATTCGCGAGAGTTCTTCACTAAAAGAGGTAACCATTTACTACTTTTCAGCTTTTGTTCCCATGGGATGAAGCAAAAAAAAAAAAGGTAAACTCTATGTTGTCCCACATCTTCTATACCTGGTGGGACGATAAAAATCCCAAATTGCATCATTCTCTTCAATGACCTCTTGTTTTATTAAGTATTTAAACTTTACGTCTAGTTAATGCTCTAAACAACTGGAAATTCATAGAAACACTGATAGGAATAAAGTTTTTTTAGGAGATGTTGATTGCCAGTATATACTTTCGTGGTAATATCTCGCTCATATTTAACTACATACAAAAAGTTATTGCTACTAAAGCAAGTAAGAGATGTTTTTTGTTAGGTTTGTGTCTTTTAAACTTACATAAACATGGAACGTTTGAATGTATTAGTAACACAGCCTGAATTTATTTGTATGTTATCATGTAGTTCAGTCAGTGCTCGCTAGATGGCACTATAAATGCTCTTTGTTCTTGTCCCTGTCAGATTTATTCTGAATGATGTATTATAAACACTGGAGAAGAGCATTCCTATTCTTTATTGTAGTTTCATTGAATATATATATATATCACCTTTAAATCCAGACGTTTATTTATTAAGTATATTTTGTGCAGAAATATAATAACAGTTCATTAAATAACCTTTGTTTCATAAATATAGAACTATAGGTTAAGAAAAGTAATAAAAAAACTGACAACAAAAATCTGACATGGAAGGAGTTAAAAAAACAACCACAACTGGTAAAGAATACTTTAACAAAATACTTACGGTTTGATCAAAGACTTCCATTTACTTATTACAAAGGCTGTCTACTCTCTCTTCTTCAGGAGAGCTTCGGCACATTACAAAGTTGAAACCTTGGGGACTTGCAGAAGTTCTTACAGAAAAGTATGACTGGGATGTCTCGGAAGCTCAATCTTTCACCGACTTCTTGACACCGATGTTAACCTACGATCCCAATCTGCGAGCCAAAGCCAGCGACTGTCTGAAACACACGTGGTTGAAATCTTGATTGTCGGTCTGTGTAGTCTTTGTTTCTCTTTATGCTCCTCCTAACGTGGGGAATTTTTTTTTAGTTCTGTGGATTCCTCATACATGTAGCCATCCACATCTTTAGTGCTCTGGTATTTTTGCTCGAAAGAGGATCATCGTGTTTTCAAGCTACGGCCTTTGATTCCCCCATGCAGGATCTCAGAATAATGTATTTAAGACTACTTCCCCACGAGTGCACCTCTTGGACTCTTGACTAAGTATGTGGACGTGTGTATGTGTGTGTGTGATATTGTGCAGTACTCTGGATAACAGTGATCTTGTCTCTTGTTGAATGGTGCTGTCCAACCCTGTAGCAACCATTGCTAACAAAAAACAATACAAGAATTTAGCAGCATTAGGTTAAAAGTCCTTGCAGCACACCCAATAATATATATATATATATAAGTACCTTTGTTGTGTTCTGTTCTAAGTTTACAAAGTATTTGGATAGCTAAATTGAGAAAATAGTAGCTGAACAAAAGATGAGTTTTAATTTTTAAATTAAAATAATTATTAATTTCTTATAGAGCATTCTAAAGATATTTTAAGTTTCAGGTAATTTTGAACTTTGTGCATATTCTTCAAGTATTTCTTATCTTGTTTCTCTAGTGGAATTTAGCTAAAGAAAAACTGTCTTGTAGAGTTAAATCTTCAAGAAAGAAGACACTAAAACAACTGTTTATTCTCTCAATAAAGAATAAAATCTTTTACTGTTTTCTTCCAGTATTGTCTTACTGTTTGTCTTTGTACACTCTGTACTGGAGTAAATTCATCAATACATATATCCAAATGACACACTATTACAGTAATAAAAAATGTTTAAATATACATATATATATATTAGGAAGATAATTGTTGCAAAAAAACGTTTCGACCTTAATGACCAGTTATGAAACGTATGAATGACAGCACAAACGATGAAAATGAGAAAAAATATGTCCAAATAATTGAAAAAAAAAACACTTTGGGATAAAAAAATTCTCTCTATAAAAAAGGAAATATAATTTCTGAATTATTTGTGCTGAAAATGATTCATTTTTTTTAAATATATGGCCACACTAAAAACGATCCTTGAAAAGTTTTTTATCCATCATTCTAAATTGAGATCGTTGAACTAACGTGATGAAAAATTATTAATATTATTTGATTTTTAATTTTAATTTTAAAATCCAATATAAACAATAGTAATACGAATTATGGAAAAAACCTGCGTGTACTTTTAATACGATTATAACTATGTACTTAATATCACATAATCAAGGTTTTTAAGGTTGTAATTTTTTTCAAGTGTTGCTTTTATTTTTCTTTAGATTTTTCTAATATTAAAAATCGGGAATTTGATATCCGTGGTGGGCACAAAACGGATAGCCCATTATGTTACTTCGTGCTTAACAAATTCGTGTTTAATTTGAACAAAGTTTACTGACATTCTACGACATAACTGAAATTAACGTACACTACTAAAGTCTTTTAATTAGTAATGTATAAATTCTAATAATAATGAAAGTAGCAGAATGGAGGGATGTAATTGTTAAAGCCATTATCTTAATATTTTTTTAAGTTAAAGAATATGAGGTAGTAAGTTATATAAAATAAAGATAAACTTATGTAAATTTATAGCAATTTCTCAAGTAGAAACAGCGTTCTGGTTTGTAGCGTCCCCTGGTGGGATAGTGTACTGTCTTACAACACTAAGTTCCAGGGGTCGATTTCCCACGGTGGACAAAGCAGATAACCTGTGTGACTTTGCTCTAAAGCAAACAAAATTGATTTGTAGCGGTAGTGACGAGCTACTCTCTTCTAGTACATATGAAACAGTTTGTGGAGCTAATAATATGTTGAGTTTTTCAACACACGATCAAAATGTGGATACCACAGTGTGATTTCAATATTGCATCGACTTTCTGCATATATTCATTATTTTATTCAGTGCTGTTAATTTGATATTATGTTTGCAAGAAGAAAAACAAAAAGAATTTCCACTCGGTACTTTGGTTACAGTTTGTTTCCGTTTACTTACAACAGGTTTTACCGTTAGGCCTACAAGTAATTTGAATTTTTGGTTCCCACCATCTTTTATTTTTTCAAAGTATTTTTTTAGTGGCAATTTCTTTACTTGATGTAAACCTAGTGTGGAAACCGGTTAATATTTTTCTTTACTTGGATGTAAACCGGTTAATATTTTTTCTTTACTTGATGTAAACCTAGTGTGGAAACCGGTTAAGATTTGTTTTTTTTCTTCACGTAAATGTTGGGATGTTACTTTGAAATTCACTTTCATGTATGTTTTGTTTATTTTATTTTAACGCGAAAAAACGAACTGAAAGCTTTTGCTAAGCGAATTATATAGTTTAGCATCGAACTTTGATACCTGTTACATATACCTTTGGTAATTTGATTAAATTTCAAGTATCTGATCTCGTGCGATATATGTTTTTCAAGACTCAGCCTCCTACTGACCAAGACCACTTCAAAGGTGAACCCGAAGACCGGCACATGAACAGTTGTTATATCAATAGGAAATTAAATGATCGTGATTTACCCACGAAATTTAGTTTGGACACAAATAATAGCCGTTTCTTTTTTATGCAAAATGTTGAAACGTATTTGTTAAAGTTAAGGAATATATATGTACATTATTGGGCAAGAAATACAATGTTAAGTAAATTTGGTTAGTTTTTATCGTAAATAAATAGTGTAATTTTAGCGTATTGAGATCGAATTAGAAATAGATGTTTTTGAGAATTTTGAGTAAACATGGAATTACTCGTGATTTTAATATGTTAAAGATTTTTATACTTCGAACTGCTTAAAACCTGGCGCTCTCTTTGCATGTAAGTTTTTTTGTGACCAGCTGGAGTACCCGTCTCCTGGGCGGAAGTTATGTAAATTCATGATTAAACAACCGTGCAGAATTAATCTTGGTTATACCCTTATGAATTCAGATTTCCTTGTATCGCGATGAAATTAATGTGTTTCACAAGTCTTTTAAACAAATAATTTTTGTTTACAAATATATGATTGTTGGGATAAATATTGAAATTGGACGACAACTAAAGGCATCCCATGTGAATGTTCCGAGGAAGTATTGTGAATAAGTTATTCATTTTAAACATAGATACTGTATTTCCGAGTATTGCACATTGAAG